AGAATGCTCCCACTGCTGTTCTTAATTGTAGGGAGGACATTTTTTTTGGCTTCCACTCACTTTCCTCCACACAAAACGGGAGTTCTGATCGATCATCTAGTTGACTATCTTCGTCGATACATTCAACTCTGATGTCTTTAGATCATTGACAATGTTCTTTGTCATTTCCTCCACGGATAACAGGAAATATAAAAGAAACTCGTGACTATCTTCGTCTATACTTTTAACCCTGGTGTCTTTAGATAATTGAGAATGTTCTTTGTCATTAAGATACGCCAATCACGATGAATGAACTTTCATGACATTATTTCTTAAACTGTATTCCAAAATATAGCTTCAACATCAAGCATACACATCACCGCCTCTAGTAATCATGACCACACAAACATGTATATGCACAAAAGCTGAGTATCATCTACCATGTATTCAATTGTGAAAGCAGAATAACGTCATATTTTTATTACTTCCAAGATCGGCATTAAATGACCCATAAGGTGATGATAGGCCTTTAAACAAACAAATCAAATCAAACCAAGCCAACTGATGCTAGAACAAGGCGATAGTAGATTTGAGAAATCTGTTTCCTGGGAAACTGTTTTGAGGTCAAAGTTTTATTAATTTCAATCCACAGTAACGCTGACTGCTCGTCCGATGAATGTCGAATATTTTCTGCATTAAAAAGGCTTATTTTGCACGAATAAAACTGTAAGAACACACACCATTCGTTGTGTAACAGAATGTAACGATAGCAGTTGCAATTAATCCATCATTAAAATTCGGTAAGTTCAATTTATGAATCCTGAACACCTTAAATTCCTCGGTACGTAAATCAGTTATCAAATTTTGTATGGATACAAAAGAATTGAACATGGAATAGCTTGGAAAAGGGGTACTTTTATTGAACACAGATTTTGCAAACGCGAAATATTGATCTGAAAACTCTAGTCGTGTTATTAACTATCCTCGTTAGATTTAATATGGATGCATTGCGTCCTGCCTATAGTTCTCTTTTACATCACGGAAGTACCAGAGGTAAGATAATATTCCCAACTTTGAAGATTATCTCCCTTGATATCAACCGAAGATCAGTAAGATATACCAAGACTGAGATGGAAATGACACCACGGCATCTGATTACCAGATATTTATTAGTCGTAAAGCCAATATGTATACAAATTATCGCTACGACAGAGTAAACAAAAAAAATCGATCCCGTCAATATTAAGTAGACAGCTCAAAAAAGCCAATGGCCAAGCAACCAGGGAAACAAAAACAAAGAAATAATTCGTGCAATTAACAAAAAAAAAAAAAAAAAAGGGAAAGAGCCGGTGGATGATCAAAAATCAGTATGGGAGTTGGACATGCTCTCCAAATGATTGTCAAGTGCCAAGACTAAACTGTGTCCCGTGTTCAAACTCCGATTGAGTGCTGAACTTGCCACTGCTACACACTAGAACGATACCTGTGTCACAAAGACGGCCTTCACTGCAATTTGAAGGCACACACACACACAATCTCGTTTGTTGATCTGTCGTCTCCCAATCCCAGTGCTACAAAAATTGTTTTATTCTTATTATTGTTACTTGGAGATGCCTTTTTATTTTTTGTTGTTGTTGTTTTTTATCTTCGCAGCCATCTCAGGTTGACATTAAAATCGTCATGAGGCATTCCCATATATTAAAACATTGAACCAGGGTTACCACTTTGTTATATATACTACTCCCAATCGTAGAGGTTTTAGCGACCAACTTACTCCTAGCGAAGTCAAACTGAACTCACAAGAAGGCGTCGCCAGTAGTCACGAGAACACGAATGCGTCATCTATACGATAGGGAATCCAGGTGGACAGCTCTCTTAGATCACAAATTTTGGTGATGTCAACGAACACTCGTTGTCACTTTTGTAAAGTCAACGAATACTCGTTGTCACTTTTGTCTTGCTAGTTGTAGAAGAGACTTTGTAATCGCAGATACAAAGTAATAGTACTCCTTTGAACAATATTGGTGTCAGACGCCTTCGAATAACACTCGCATTAGTAGTATTTGCTCGATAATACTCGCTCGAACAGTAATCTGTATAGTGATCTGAATAGAGAAATAGTATAGTGAATAGAGTAGAGAATAGCGGTCCGTAGTAGAAATGGAGATCTGTATAGTAATAGAGGATAAACTACAAATGAAGATCTGTATAGAAATAGAGGATAGACTAGAAATGGAGATCTGTATAGAAATAGAGGATAGACTAGAAATGGAGATCTGTATAGAAATAGAGGATAGACTAGAAATGGAGATCTGTATAGAAATAGAGGATAGACTAGAAATGGAGATCTGTATAGAAATAGAGGATAGACTAGAAATGGAGATCTGTATAGAAATAGAGGATAGACTAGAAATGGAAATCTGTATGGAAATAGAGGATAGACTAGAAATGGAGATCTGTATAGAAATAGAGGATAGACTAGAAATGTGGATCTGTATAGTAATAGAGGATAGACTAGAAATGGAGATCTGTATAGAAATAGAGGATAGACTAGAAATGGAGATCTGTATAGAAATAGAGGATAGACTAGAAATGGAGATCTGTATAGAAATAGAGGATAGACTAGAAATGGAAATCTGTATAGAAATAGAGGATAGACTGGAAATGGAGATCTGTATAGAAATAGAGGATAGACTAGAAATGGAGATCTGTATAGAAATAGAGGATAGACTAGAAATGGAAATCTGTATAGAAATAGAGGATAGACTAGAAATGGAGATCTGCATAGAAATAGAGGATAGACTAGAAATGTGGATCTGTATAGTAATAGAGGATAGACTAGAATATCATGATCATTAGTCGTCACGATACTTTCTACTTATGCGTTTCCTCTATGGTCACGTGATTCACTTAATCCAATAATGGGATCGCCTGTGTTTGCTCACTTGCGATCTATGTTCAAACTCAAGTGTCGGCAGCGACATTTTATTCTTATATAACACAAATGAACCTGAGCAATCCGCCTCGTCGTTTGTTTAGCCAGTATGGGGGAATGTCTGCTTTCTGTGTACATATCAGGCTTGCGGCTGTATCCCGACAAAACACACGTTCTAACCCGATCGTCGAACAGAAGCAATGATTCTCTGTCCATCACACATTTGTATGTTCTTTTTCATGAGCGTATGTTATTATCAAAAATTAGTAAAGGGGTTTGTAATAACAACGACAACGTAGTTTAGTCTGGTGACCTGTTTGCGGAAGCGACACTCCTGCTTTTTATGCATACAAACACAAAATAGATTCGACCGGAACTCGAACTCGGCACTCTGATTCCGTAATACGAGCCGCTATCGATTACTCCACCATGCCTCCTGCCATTTACTTAAGTTCGTCAAGTATGTCACACGCTGTTTTCCTCTATCCTTCTTGTCCTCAGTCTATCCTTTGAGTATCAAATTTTCCAAAGTATCTTTCCTCATTATGTGAGTATCAGATTTTACAAGCTTTTCTTCCTCATGTCCCTTGGAAATTTCATCTGTTTCTTCTTCATATTAAATATGAGTTTCCTTTTTGTCTCCATTTTCTCTAAAACCTCGTCGTTGCTCCCATGTTCGGTGGATCGTATTCACAGAATCAAAATGAGAAATGTTACAAATGCTGCGTAAGTCACATTAAAGCTACCGGAAGCTGGTTGCCACAAACTCATTACATGTATTATTATTACTACAGTGTAAACCGGATATAAGAGAGTTGTCGGGACCGGAGAAGAAGTCTCTTAAATCCGGGTTTCTGTTATATCCGGGTTTGGTCTATTTTATATACATTAACACAGGCTCTAATTTGGGACCGGAGAAAATCTCTCTTATATCCGGGTTTATCTTATATCTGGGTCTCTTATATCCGGGTTACACTGTATTATTATTATTATTATTGTTATTATTGTTGTTGTTGTTGTTCTTCTTCTTCGTCGTCGTCGTCGTGCCGTGTCCATTCCGGACATTGGTGATCATGGCTCTCCACAATTTCCTGTCCTTTGTAGCGCTTAAAGTTTGCCATTTTGTCACCCATTTACTCATGCTCTCCGAGTAGGTCATGCGTTATCCCCCCCTCTTAACTCTGTTGACTTCAACCTGTTCTGTGAGTATCAAATTTTCCAAAGTATCTTTCCTCATTATGTTCCCTAGAAATTTCAATTGTCTCTTCCTGATATTAGATATAATTGCCCCCACTTTTTTTTTTTGTCGGAATTTCTGGGAGGAGCTGTTATCATGATTTACACAATTTATATTCGGATTATTGCCTTCATCTTTGTTATTTTTATCACAACGTTTCTGCCGTTGTGCTTTCCACGGGTGTATATCGATCTGGGTAGTTTACTAGTTACAAAACGGACTCTTATTTACACTATCTATTTTCGGACTATATACACCTGAGGAAAACCGGAGAGCACAATGGTTGAAATATTGTGATAAAAACAACAAAGATGGAGACAATAGTTCGAATATAAGTATTATAAATAATTGTCCTTGTTGTTTCGATTTTCTCTAAAACTTCGTCGTTTCTCACATCTCAAGTCCATGGTATTCTCAGTATCTTTCTGTAGAACCACATTTCTGTTGCCTCAAGTCTCTTCTTCATCTTTGAGGAGATTTTTTAGCATTCATTACTATATAGGAGACGATGATATTACGTAACAGTTCAGTACTCTTTTGTTTTGTTTATAAGCACATTTTTCTCTTTCCCAATGCTCTGCTTAGGTTTTGGAAGGTATCTTTCGCTATCCAAATGCTCGTTCGGATTTCCGTGTTGCACTTTCCTTATTTTCTTAAAATACTTCCCAAATATTTAAATTGTTGTACTTGTTTAAGTATGCCTGAAATAGTGACCAGATACAAGTTCTCACTGAGCGACCAACTCTATTGAACGTAGACCGGTTGTTAAGTGAGAAGTGACTGTATATGTATGAGAAAATAGAATTCGTAGTAAGTTTTCACTCAGTATCAAATAAAAGAAAACCTTATGTTGAAACACTGGTGCTCGTCCAATCAACGAAGTTGAGCAACGTCGAGCTTGGTCAGTACCTAGATGGGTGGCCGCTTGGGAATACTAGGTGCTGTAAGCTTGGATGTGCGGGTGGTGTAATGGATAACGTCTCGGAATTTGAAATCGGAGAATCGCGTTCCAGTCAGATTTGTTATATTCACTTACGCACCAAGGTATGAATCCATCTCGTCTCCCCACGCTATGGGATAAATACAAATATTTTTTTAAAGAGTAAATCACTATTATCTCCTAAAAATTCTTACAATCCAAAAATATTTTATAGCTTTAAATAACACGAAAAAGATTGATAAGTCGTAAAAAACAAACCAGTAAAAAAAAGTATATACTGAATAACACAAAGAAATTCATGGCGGTATTGTCGATTTAAGGAAGTCTGTTGGAATGAGTAATTACTCTTTAGATCTTTAATTCGTTCTGTTTTCGAAGGCTTTTCGTGACTGCTCCATGTTCACTAATAATAATTGGCACTACTGTCATTTTCCTATTCTATAATCGTTTCCTTTTTTGATTTCTTCGGATTTTTCTTTCTATGTCATCTGACGGATTTGTCTTTCCATTACTATCATATTATGCGTAAGCGTGTCTTATCTTCTGTGGGGCGGTGGAAACTCGCTCGCTCGTTCGATTTCTCACTGGCAGATCTGAAGATTTCACTGCATTTGTTACATCGCCTCATTGAGCCTCGAAGGTAAAAACCGATGCCAAGGTCTAGTTTACATGATTTCCATATCGAAACGACGTGATCGGTTCAGAAGGGAATGCGCTATCTATGAAGAAAAGAAGAGAAGAAAAAAAAACATGATTTTTCTTCGCCGAAGGACATTCTGGTTCGCAAAAGTATCTCACCACGGGATTCGCATCACACTTAGGCATCAGCTGATAAACTTTGAAACCTTATTAAACAATAATAATAACAACAGTCGTGTATATGTTTTGTTAAAATACTTTGCAGATCTTTGAACGGAACCCGATCGTTAAGTGAAAAGTGGCTGTATATGTATATGTATATGTATGGTAAAATAAAATTTGGAGTAAGTTTTTACTCGGTATCAAATAAAAGAAAACCTTACGTTGAAACACCCGTGCTCATCCAATCAATGAAGTTAAGCAACGTTAAGCAACGTCAAGCATAGTCAGTACCTAGATGGGTGACCACTGGAGAATACCAGGTGCTGTAAGCTTGGATGTGCAGGTGGTGTAATGGATAATGGCTCGGAATTGAAAGATATTCTGTTTACCAGTGCGGCTCGCAAAAGCATCTCACCACGGGATTCACAATCACCCCCAGGATGCCTGGGAGTAATGTTAATTCCATGGCGTGGTTTCTTTTGAAACCTTATTAAACAATAATAATATCACTTTTGTATGTTTATGTATATAGTGATTTTCCAAGCATTGCTTAGATGTGCACAAGGCCGAAAGTCGGGGGCATCCAGTGAGGATATGTTTATGTATATAGGGTGAGAATCAGGTAGATATGTGCCTTTACTTCTGTCGATGCAGTTAAAAAAACTCCATAATATTCACATATCCCAATCGTTTCTATATCTACAGTAATAATTCTCTCTGCTGATTAGTGACAGCGAAAACGTAATTGAAATATAAAATTTCATGTTGAGCAATTTGCAATCGAAATAAAAACTAAGGCAATGTGAATCAGAATGAGATATCAAAATACCTTTATCATTTTCGGGTCTATCAATGCCGGAAAAAAAAAAGCATGAAAATCAACAAAACGGGAAAAATACCCAAAATAAAAGGGTGTAGATTCTTTCTTCCAAGTTTCTGCCTTCCATGAAAATCAGCATTTGCCACCGGGGCTGGTTAGAAACATTCTACCCCACGCAAGCCAAATGCTAAGTTGAGCCTAATACCATACTAAATAGTTTAGAATGAAACTCAGGAAGACTAGTTTGGGATAATATTCAAAAAGAAAGTTTGCTCTTCCTTGAAATCCGAATTCAAAAATCTTTGCTTTTGCTAGGGCTTGATAACTGACCAAAGTCACCGGAAGGAAATATTCAATTATGCCAAATAACGGTGAGAAGATGCAGAAAGATTGTGTTGAACCAAAATCTGTTATTTTTATCACACACTAGTCGTTTTGGAAAATGCACAAGTTTCTCATCGGAGTGTTTTTTTTTAAATAAATTTTTTTAAAAATATTTTTTTATCACTGCGATGGAAAGGTTACTTTATCCCCAACTAGATAAAGGATCTTTTGAAAACAAAAACAAAACAAAAAAAAAAAAACGATTTGTCCATCGAATGAATGAGCAGCTGAAATTTATGATGTTTTAAAAAAGAAGGCCGAAATTTATTAAGCTTAAAAAAAAGGCTGAAATTTATGATGCTTAAAAAAATAAGGAAAAAAAGATTTGTCCGACGAATGAAGAGCAGTTGAAATTTATGATGCTTTTACATAAAAAAAATAAGAAAAAAAAAGGAATTTGTCCGGCAAATGAAGGAACGGATAAAATCTATGACACTTAAAAGAAACAAAGCGATGTCTTTGGCGAATGAAGGAACAGCATTAGTTAATTATGCTTAAAAATATAAAAAGGAAGAATGTTACCAATTCTGTCAACAAAATGAAAGAAATACTTAATTTTACTGCTGCATCGAACTAAAGCGTTATGTATTTTCTTTGTATATTTTTATTCGCCTTTTCACTACTTAAAAATCAAGTAGATTACATTTTATTTAACTGAAATCATTTATTTATTTTCTAAACTGCAATGTCTTTCTCAGAAAACAGTCTCTACTTAAAAATACATGTGTGCAAAATACGATAACCTTTACATGAAATAATTAAGGTTAAGCAATTTGTCTGTGAATATTTTGACTGTCTTCGTACAGTTGATTTCATTCGAAACTGATTTCATAATCTTTTTCTTTGCCTGTCTTCTTTTAATATTACTACCGTTCCATAGCAAAAAAAAAAGAACAAAACAAAAAAAAAACATAAAAAACTGAAAACAAAAAACAAACTTAGTATGTTTGTGCTGAGTTGACCTTTGAGTTTCCAGCCACGCCATCTTTTTCACTTTGTTCCCAATCTTGCCGCGGCTAATCAACCCTCATCTTGACCTCAAATCGCTCCCACTGCAGACTAACTTATTTTTGCTTATGAAAATGCTCTATACCCTTCCTTCCGTTTTCAATAGTAGAATTTCCCAATACACGTCTTAAGATTAAATCGAGGTAGGGAGTTACTGCTAAAAATGGCTAGTCCTGGGTATGACGATAAACTTCAAAGGCCTCTAATCGGAATAGATTGGAGGTTTTGAGGAGCGTGGAACCACATCTTAATTGCTGTTGTCCCCAGGTTCACCCTGACTCTGGGGACAACAGCAATGGCCCAATAGTGACCCTCCCCCCCCAAAAAAAAGCAAAAAACCCTGAGAGTATAAAAATAATTTTTTGTTATAAAAATACCAGCAATACATTTTTATATAAAAATTACCAGTAATCAGTCAGTTATGTACAATGCTTGATACACGCATGGGTGATCATTTATCTTTCGATATATGACTGACGAGGCAGATTTTTCCCCGCAGTAGGTTACCATTTCTTTCTAAGGTAGAACAGTTGCTATCCAAGGTCTATTCTGCTATTTACCCATAACTAAGGGGGCGGGGGAAGAAGAGGATTCATACCTTTCCCAAGGCTATTAGTACGTAAGTGAATGTAATGGATTCGATTGGAATTCGAACTCAGCTCTTCAACTCAATCGAGCCCCTATGCATTAATCCACCGTGCCTCCTCATTTATAATAGATTTCCCAACAATACATTTTATCGGTTGTTGAAGGCATACAAGTGTGAACGAAAATATATTTAGCCATAATATTGTGTTCAAAATATTTAGCTTTCGGCATTAAACAGCCCATAGAGATGTTGATATGCCGCTAAACAAAATCAACCAAATAAACAATCACCGTGAAAGAAATCTTTCAGAACATTAATTCATATAATATCCTACAATTTCTTAGAGAAATCAAACTGTATTCTAAAACATAACTTCAACAAAACTACAACATAAAAAAAAACACATATATCGTCGCCTCTATTTATTATGTCCACACAAGCATGAATATGCACAAAAGCTGAGTATCATCTACCATGTATTCACTTGTGAAAGCAGAATAACATATATCATATTTTTTATAGCTTCCAGGAAAATAAAATTTCGGCAATGAATGAGCCATAAGCTGTTGATATGAATGGAAGAAGGAGATGGCGAAGAAGTGTAAGGGGTTAGGATAAGCAAGATAGATAACGAAGTAACATGTGCATTCAGATTTAGACGACAATGGTTCTCTACAGCTTCCTTTCCTTTTTTAACATTTGCTGAGCAGAGGGAGAGAGCGAGTAGCCTGCTTAATGAATGTTGCTTAGTTACAAGAGACAGGAAGTTGTTGAGAGACATGGTAGACACGGTATATAGGAAAAATGAATTCGCGTATTGACAGGTTTGCCTTTTGGGAAAATAATCGAATGGTTTCCGGTTTTCTAGACATTTTTGATTTCAGAGTTTACCTCTTAGTTTAATTACCAACCAAGGTTCTCGAGCCCATTAGACTATATTATTTAACCCATAGGCGGGAAAAGATTAAAAATAGGGATTCATGTCCTTTCCTTGGGGCATTAATACTACAGGCAAAACATTTGCTGAATCAGACATCTCTTTCTTTCTCTTCGTCTTTCTCTCTTTCATTTTTTGTCTATTTCTTTCATTTTTCTCTTTCTATTTCTTTCCCTCTTTTATTTCCTTTTCTCTTTATTTGTTTTTCTTTCTCTCTTCTTTTATTTCTCTTTCTCTCTATTTTTATCTCTTTCTCTTTTTCTTTTACGTTCTCTGCTTTTTATGTCAATATCTCTCCCTCTCAGACTTTCAATGTCTCTCTTCCCCTCTTTCTCCCTCCCTCTCTCTCTCTCTCTCTTTCTCAGATTGCCAGAAACTCTCTCTTTCTCGTTTTCTTTCTTTTTCTTTCTCTCCCTTTTTCTTTGTTTCTTTGTTTCCTGTCTTTACCTGTGTCTTTCTTTCTCTATTACTTTCTCTCTTTCTGTTTCTTTCTTTCTCTCTTTTTTTCTTTGTCTCTTTCTCTCTCTCTCTCTCTCTCGCACGCTTTTTCTTTCTTCTTTTTTTCGTAGACTGCCTTCTCCAATTTATTCAGCTAATAGAATCATATTTTTGACTGTAAGGCAATGTAACCTAACATTAACATTTCCAAAGCCTCTCAAAGGTATTTTATTGAGAGAAAGCTCTTTGCAAATTTCTTTCACAACCGCAATTTTGCATTTGCCCACCTATTTTTATTTGTTGCGCTTTTTAGAAATCCCAGGAAATTCCAGATCATTCTTTGATTCCTCGACCCGGATACAGTGTACCTTCTTCACACCCACTAATAGGCCATACTCGATCCCTTCGCCCATTCAGTTTGTCGTATCGATCATGACCAAATCATTATATGAGAAACTGTCGCTGACAAGATTAACCTCTTATTTTCGTTACTTAATTTTCATTCGATTTTTGGTGGTTTCATTCAAAACGACTTTTTTCTTTTGCACATGTTTCAGTGCATTTGTCTTTGTTCGCATTGACAATTGATTTTTGATACAGCCATCTTTCAATTCATTCTTTTAATATCGGACTTGTTCTTTGAAATATTAGTTTTTTTTTTTTTTAATTTTTCTTTATCATTGATATTGTACAAGGAAGAAACATTTGTTCCCTTCTTCTATTCGAAGCCTTTTCTCTCTCCACTCTCTCTCTTCCCCCTCTCTATCCCCTCTCTTTCTCCCCTTTCTCTTCCCTCACTCCCTCTCTTTGACCTCTTTCTCCCCCTCTCTCTCCCCTTACTATCTCTCCCCTTACTATCTCTCCCTCTCCCTCTTGTCACATACTGTGAACATATATCTATCTTTTTTTAACCATTTCACCCCAAGCAAGGCAGCAAAGCCACTAACACGTGGGTAGGAGTGACTGAGTGCGAATAAACATCAGAAGAAATAATTAAAGATAAAGAAAAATAAAAGAACAGGAATTGATAAAACAGAACATAACACTTGACATTGCATTTAAATTTTTGAAGGTCAAACAAAGTTGACTGGAAGGCAAGAAACCGGAAGAGAGTTCCACAAGCGAGAAGTGTGAGAAGCTGTTGGCATAGAACTTAGGGCTACATCTATCCATTTCCATTTTAAATGATGGGACCTTACCGCCAATCGAGTACTGCGCTTAAACTCATAGAGTCTAAGTACCATAAAGAAGAGCTCATCAGAAGAATTACCTTGAAAGTATTTATAGAGGAAGGCACAGGGCAGCCACATTACGTTGACGGGAAAGTGACTGAAGTCGAGATGCCAAATTCTCTCTGGATTTTATTAAGAATCTCTAAATAGATAGCAGGAGGAACCAGACCAGATGTGTCAGTAGGGCAGGTTGATCTTTCTCTCGATTTTCAGAAAATTAACATTGTACACGGTGTGAAAGCTGGGGTTTGATGTGATTGGGACCAAAGATTAGATTCATAGCTTTTACCAATATATATTTCTCCCCTTTCTCTTCCATACTGTCAATAACTCTCTCAGAATTTCAATATGTCCCTTCTCTCTCTCTCTTTCTCCTCCCTTTCTCTCTCTCTCTCTCTCTCTCTCTCTCTGTCTCAGATTGTCAGAAGGTCTCTCTTCACAACTAATAATGTGTCTCTTTGCCCAACTACCAGGATGTCTCTCAGACTGTCAATATATCTTTCTCTCTCTCTCTCTCAAACAGCTAATATGCCACTCTCTTTCCCTTTAATACTGTCAATATGTCTCCATCTTTCTCTCATGCTGTCAATGCCCCCCTTCTCTCTCTCTTTCTCTCTCTCTTTTCAGACTGTCAATATGCCACACCTCTTTCACTCTTATGCAGTCAAACGGTTTTTCTCCACAACTGCCAATATGTCCTTTGCCCAACCGTCACACTCTCTCAGAATGCCAATCTCTCTCTCTCTCTCTCTCTCTCTCTCTCAAATAGCTAATATGTCACTCTCTTTCTCTTTAATACTGTCAATATGTCTCCCTCTTTCTGTCATACTGTCAATATCTTCCCCCTCTCTCTCTCAGACTGTCAAAAGATCTCTCACAATTGCCAATATGTCTCTCTGCCCGACCGCCACACTGTTTCTGAGACTCTCAATATCTCTCTGTCTTTCTCGGACTGTCAATATCTCTCTGTCTCTCTCAGATTGTCACTATCCCGCTTCCTCTCTCTCACACTGTCAATATCACTCTCTTTCAGAGTCAATATCTCTATCTTTCTCAGACTGCCAATGTCTGTCTACATAAAAGAGAGACTTAGTTTTTGTTCATAGCAAGAAGGGTCAAGACAAAGTTTAATTAGCAGTCATCTTTCTTTTCATTTCCCTTCCAGCCGGTCCAACAGGATGTTTTTTTTTTTTTTACTGCTTCCCATATAATCAAGTGACGATTGTTTTGGTTGAAAGTTTTAAAACGCAGTAACCAACAACGACCTTTTTATTTCTGGCCAAGATGAGTATGGCAGATTTCGAAGTTGCAACAGTTAATTAATGATTAGTTATAGATATTCTTTTAAACTGTAATCTGGTTCCTTTTGAAATTATATTTGCTTGTTTAGCGGCATATCAAATCTTTATGGGACGTTTAATACCAAAATTTAATTTTCTTGGAAGCATTAGTAATTTCATTTACAAAAATTAATTGCTGGTAAATTTTTTACTATGAAAATATGTGGCTGGTATTTTTAATATAAAAATGTAATTTTTATACTTTCATAGTAATTTAATGCCGGTTTATGGGTTAACTATTTGCCCATAGTTGGAACCCTGACAGGTGCTACCACTCTGGGTGAAAGTGGACCTGAAAACAAAAGCAATTAAGAGGTGGGTCAACCCTCCTCAAAATCCTTGCTGCCAGATGTAGTTTATCGTCATACTAAGAACGGCCTATTAAAATGACGTGGCTAAACAATGAAAATATTGTTTTCAGGTAGTGCAGGCAACCTTATTCAAAAATATAAACTTTAGCTTCCGAAACAAATTACAAAGAGAGAAGACATGAGTGAGTTAGCAGACATTGACACATTTAAACGGTTACCTTAACTGAAGTTATATATTGATATCGAAGGGGTCTTCTCTCTCTCCCCCCTCACTTCCTCACTTCGTTAATTTACATATGCTTAATACGGCCCGTCAAAAATGTGTAAATTTCTTTTAATCTTTTGTTTCAACCTTTGGAAGTAAAGTCTGATGATCCACAGTCCTTTAAAAGGGCTGTGGTGAAATAATTTATTACATGGAACATTAAAGTGGTCTGTTTTTATTTAAATTATTTGCTCTGGATTTACATTGAGCTCTCTGGATTTTATCCTCCTTAGGTTTACCAATACGGATTACCAAGATTTTCATAAACTATATATATATATATATATATATATATATATAATAGCTGGCCATTCGTATTCGAGGATACCCGTCTACTAGGATGGCTAGCCAATCCCTATTGCAGACGTTCACTCAGGCACATTTATGTTTGTTCAGCACCTACAGAGCCCACCTGTGGTTTATACTGCAACTGTGCTGAGCAGACCTTAGTTACAGTTTCTGGGAGTTAGCGTGTTATCTAGAATGATCAACAATCTGAACAACACCAGCATACCTCGGTCACGATGACTTATGATTTCTTGCTAGCACAGCTATGTTCTGTCTATCCAGTTTCACTCACAAGTCTTGTGTCAACCCGTGGTATGGTTTTCAGGCACTTTCCAGAGATTGTCCCCCTCCAGACCGAAAACATCAAGAAGTTTCCTTCCCTGACAAATCGACCATGCTGAGTTTCGAACCCGGGTCTCATGGCTAGAAAGCGAATATATATGTTATATTTAGTGGCTGCATGTTTTTGAGTATACAGCCCTGTTTGTTTGTTTGTTTGTTTGTTTGTTTGTTTGTTTGTTTGTTTGTTTGTTTGTTTGTTTGTTTGTTTATGTAAAATTAGCATCTATTAGTCTGGACCATGGAAAGTGTTATTAAAAAATATACACCTCACTCTGGATTGAACTTGTGTTTGCTTTCTTCAGGAAAACTGACATGCAAGGCGTTATTTGACCATTCAGTGATACTTGTTTAATACAAAATATTACTACCTCTGTCCTGTAAGTGCATAAGCATTTGTTTGTTATTCCTTTGATTGTGGACAACATTATGATGTTTACATTTAAAACTGACAATTATATTTGTTTTTATATATAACGTCAAGTGTCTAAAAGCCTACTTTAATTTAAAGAAATCTACAATTTTGCTATTTGCTCAGTTTATATATTTTAACAGAAAATATCAACCACAGGCGGACATTTGAAGAATATGTAAGGGAAAGCTCTTCATGACAAATGATGTTTGTAATTCGCATCTTTCCAGAGTTTATCTGACAAGTCTAACATTCGTCCATGCTTAGAATATTGCTGCCAAATATGGTCCGGTGCTCCTGCTATATATCTAGAGCTCCTTGATAAAATCCAAAGAAGAATCAGCAATATTATTGACCCTGGTCTGGCGTCTCAACTTCAGTCATTTTTCCACCGCCGTAAGGTTGCCTCCCTTTGCTTTTTCTATTAATATTTTCTGGTAATTGTTCGGATGAGCTCTTCGCTATGGTGTCTAGACTCTTCGAATTTAAGCGCAGCACTACACTGGCTACGTGGTCTCACCAATTTACAGTTGAGCTGACTAGGTATAATCGCAAATTCTATGCTAACAGTTTCTTTTATCACATTTCTCACTAGTGGAGCTCTCTTCCAGCTACATTCTTTCCAGCCAACTTTAATCTGTAAAAAATTAAATGCAATGTCAATCGCTATCTACTTTCCTCCTGATTACTCTTCTTTTGTTCTCACCCCTTAGTAATGTTTCTGTTTCTGTTTCTAATTCCTCCACACCCAGCAACCCTTTTCGTTTTTCGTCTTGCATAGGGTGAACCCAATTTAAAAAAACAGTCATATGTGCGATAAAGAATAACTTCAACATAAATGACCGTTCCCAAACAGCAGTACCTGTAAGTATGGAGTTATTTAAACGACTACAAATGCTTACAGGTAAATTAAATCAGTGAAACGCTTCTCAAGGTGAAATGCTCCAAGCAGTGAATTCATAAATTATTTAATTATAATTTGTTTTCATTGAGTTAAACCTTTATTTGCTTTTGGCTTATAAATGTAACAATTTTAGTACAGATTTTACACACGAAATGTGAAAAGCTGCTTACAGGGAAAAGAGAAAGAGAAGACTATAGTGAAGACAAGTGAAGTGAAGATATTAAAAGAACAGGGTTCAGAAAGACAAGATGGCGACTGAAGTTGCATTTAAATTTTTGACGATTGTAGGTAGCAGGGAATCAAGAAATCGAAAGGCAGTTCCACAGGTGAGAAATGCAAGAAAGAAATTGTTAGAATAGAATAGACGGTTGCATCTAGCATGTTCAACATTAAAACGGTGAGACGTTGTTGCCAATCTAGTCTGCATACTTAAATTCGTGCAGACGAGACACGTCACGTCGGTGAGAAAGTGATTGAAGTCGAAATGCCAAATAAGGACCGATAACATTACAGACGTTTCTTTGAATTTTGTCAAGTATCTCAAGATATATAGCAGGAGCACCAGACCAGTTATGGCAACAGTATTTAATGTACGGACGAATGGTAGATTTATAAGTGTACAAGATAGATTCTGACAAGAAAACTTTTCTGGCACGACACAGTGAACCAACTTTCCTTGCAGTAGATGCAACTATTGAATCGATATAGTCACTCCACTCCATATAACGAGGCCAAGAAGGCGCAGAGTGTTGCTCTCTTGGAGTTTATTATGTGACAGAAGTAGCAACTAAAAAAAGGAACTGTCTGTCCCATAATAGTTGTTCTATTTTTATACGTATTTCATACATTAATGTATCAATTATTATGGGACAGAAGTAGCAACTAAAAATTATTATTTGTCCCATAATAGTTGTTCTATTTTCATATATATTTCATACATTAATGTAACAGTAATTATGGGACAGAGTTAATACTATTTACCTTTGACTGTCCCAATTACTTTAAATGCATTTTATAGATGTTTTAATAGATTTTTTTTCGTAGATATTCTTGGAGTTGCTCATCATTGTCTTCAGAACAATATTCTCGTTCAATCATTGTCAGATTTTTTTCCTTTTCCCATCTTATTTTATTTTTTTTCGTCATCTGGGTTTGAAACGGAGTTTCTCTTTCACTCTTTTTCTTCTTCTTCTTCTTCTTCTCTCTCTCTCTCTCTCTCTCTCTCTGTATAAATATATGTATGTATGGATTTGGAACGCGCCATCGATTTGGCATACTGCAATTCATATTTCATCTTTATTTTTCTTTCCTTAATGGTGAGGCCTGGCTCATGGTGTTTTGCACTATCTCGGCTCAATCAAGATAGGAGTAATAGACAAATGGCTGCAAAGGTCAGGTTTAGACACGTGAGGCAAGGAACCTAACTAAGATAAAATTGAGAAGCGGTGAAAATGGTAAATAAGGAAGAGGAATATTCAGGTAACTTGACCTATGCGTGAATTTATCCAAGTGTTTTACTTTGATTATTTTATACATGGACAGGTGCTTAAGTGTACCTATCTATAGAAGCGTATATATATATATATATATATATATATATGTGTGTGTGTGTGTGTGTGTGTGTGTCTGTGTGTGTGTGTGTGTGTTGGGGCCACCCACCTTCTCATCAGAATGGACTGATCTCTCTACTACTAATAGGACAGTTCTATAGAGTTCTGGGAGATCAGGTGACCATCGCACTTCCGTCTCTCTACCGGAAGATACAGTTGGACTTTATACTCTTTCTGATTGTTACTGACTAAACTGCGTTCGTTTGACTACTAATCTCTCTGTTGTAAATACCTCATCAGATATACCAGTATTTTCCCTACGTATGTGTTTGTCCTTATTTCAATACACGCACGGGGAAACACTCATCAATATATATATATATCTATATATATATATATAATAACTGATTTTAAAAATATGGTTTCATCGCTACACAGGAATTACCATGTTTCAAAAACAGAAACTAAAATCTTCAAATTCAATTATATAATTAAGTCAAAAGCATTAGTTTTTTTTTTCATCTTGAAGTGAATTTTGGCATAACTTAAATAAGTAATAAATCCGTTGGTATATGATCCAAATGATCCTAGTAATATAGAACCTTTATAAAACCGCTTCCCTTTAAGGCTAATACCTTCCACCCTCCCCCGAACCCTGTCTCGTGCCTTTCGCCTGACTGAAACATTGAAATAGATAAATTATGTATTAATTTTTCGATAGCTGTCACAGTTAATTTTCAAATTCCGACGCGAACAGTCTATATACTGGGGTTGAATAAGATTGACAAAGTTTTCGTCGGTTGAAATAGATCTATTCCACATATGAGATAATTTGGGATTTTATTGTATAATACTGTATATATATATATATATATATATATATATATATATATAATTACATAATAAAATACAAAATTGACTCCTATAGAAGAAAATAAACCTATTTCAACTGACGAAAACTTCGTCAGTCGTATTCAACCCAGGTGTATATTCTCCACTTAGAGTGTATATATATATATATATATATATATATATATATATATATATATATATATATATTATAATATTACTCTTCTGTTGTTCTCTCTCCTTTTTTCTTATTCTTTCACACTCAGTAACCTCTTGTGTCTCAGCGGTTTTACTGCCTTCCATGCGATGAAATGATACACACACACACACACACACACACACACACACACACACACACATATATATATATATATATATATAATCTCATTATACCCTAGTATATGCAGATAATAATATATGATAAATATGTGTGTGTGTGTGTGTGTTTACTTGTTCCTATTCTGAGTTTGCGGAATTATATTCTACTCTTCAGGAGACTTGATTGCAAATTTGGGTCTATATTCAGAAATTAAATTTTCCTTAAAAAAACCTCCGATATGATTGGTCATGTATAGTGAATACCACCAACTCCTGTGAAAGGAATTTAAAACGAGAGACATATTAACCTTTTTAATGCCCGGACATGACTGCAAAATTTTGAGATCAGTATAAATTGATGAACTTTGAATTTTATTCTAACACGTTATGTAAGCGCATATTGTATTTTAGTCTTTCCTTGTATATTATCGATACAATAAAATAATAAAAATTTATGATAATCTGGCACTAATAGAATAAAACACTTGACAAAAACACATTGGAAATAGCAGTACATATGTTATGCTTCAATAATTTGACCAGTAGACCAAGTATAGATATATAGAGCATATAGACAACGGTCGTTAAAATCGTAAACATATGATAAATTTCCAAGGTCCAAGAATCACTATGAAAGTGTCGTTTGGAGGGATATCTAATAAATGGAATTGTGGGTAGGATTGATCCTGTTTCCCGGAAGAGGAGCAAATGGGTCATGTGTGCAAAAACTGATAAGATATTATATACCGTGTGCGGAAAAGATTGTTCCAGTAATTTATATAGAGAGGCAGCTGAAGTGACATGAGTCGAGAAAGACGAGACTCGAGTCACTTCAAATCAAGACTCGATTTTCTCAGACATGACAGACACGCAAGAGAAGTCGACAGAGAAGTTGAAAACGTTGTAGGAGGAAAAAAAAAAAACACCACGGAAATTATTATGAATGAAACGCTACACAATAGACGTTTAGATGTTTAAATCTAGGTTAAAGTTTTATTTTTGTCTGGAGAGTTCAAGAGAACTGTGTGTAGCGGCCTCTAGATAACATATTTCATCTTTTGCTTTAGAAAGCCAAAAAACAAAAAAAAAGTACTCAATAGAGAAAACAAAAAATTTAAAAATATGTAAAATATTTTTTCAACAAATCATGAATAAACCAGTTCGCTTCCCGCATTTTCCTTTTCTCTAAAGTTGTCTATCGATTTTCATTTTTAATTAACTAACGTGCTACAATCTGGGTCAGTCTTTTCAGAATTAACTAACGAAGCTTAACATACCAGTCACTGAATATAACTAATCTCTATCTAGCAGGTTGTGTGTGTGTGTGTGTGTGTGTGTGTGTGTGTGTGTGTAACGAATGCACGGCCGCAATTTTCGACAGATTTGCACCAAAATTTACATGCACATGCTCCAAGTTAGCGGGAAGGCCAACACCGACATTGCATTTCCCAACTCTCATCGATAGTGGAAATAATCGATTTTTTCATGCTTCTACAGCAATTTTCATGTAGTTTGCGGCCATTTTCTACTGGCCAGAGTGAGAGCCTATAGCTGGCTGCAACGAATAGGCAGGAAGATTCTATTGGTCAGCGTGAGAGCCAACAGCTGACTGACACGAATGTTAACTAGCATGCAAGCATGCAAAAAAAATCGATAGCTGCATTCGTCACAAGTGAGAAAAATTTAAATCTGCATGGCACTTTACTCCAATTGTCTCATTCGCTTGCTTAAAATCAACGTTGATTCTGATTCCGCAGAACTGCGTTGGGTGTGAAAAAGTATTTGTTGTTAACATTCTTTTTTCATTCGGTTTTTCCAGTTACGAGTCCTTTTTTAAATTTGATCGTTTTGTGTTCATTTTGTTTAGTTCTTTTTTTGTTACAGATTTAACGTTTAGTATAGAGCTTAAAAAAATTCGCAGTGTGAGATAGGCAAGAAGTAAGGCATGTAGCAACATCAGCACGGCGAAGGGCACTCGTTTTAAGGCAAGGAAGGGCAAAAATATTTTAAGTCATATGAAAGCGATTGCTGTATGAGTCGTACGATGTTTAAATCAAGCACGGGCAACGCCGGGTCATGCTGCTAGTGCGTTATATGAAACTATCCTCTTTTTTTTTTTTTTATAAACTCCATACATTAAAAAGAAGGAAAATACTGTAGTACAAAATGTTCTCAACAGATGACATTACCCTCATGGCTGGCTCTAGCATCAACAAGTCCTAAAGGATGTATATCGCAGAAAACCGATTATATTGTCGGCCCTTAGACAAGAAATTGAAAATGCATTTGCAGCAATCCCACTGGACACTATGGCCAATGTTGCCCAAAAAGTAGTTCGCCGTACTAATAAATGTCGGAAAGTTAAAGCTCACCATTTTGACTATCTCTTGTGATTGTAGATTCCAAGGTAACTTGTATTAATGTCATGATGATGTCTGAATACATTTATTATTATAATATCTATACAAGTTTTTTCTAACTGAAGTGTGTATACAATGTTTGGCAGACTCTCTCTCTCTCTCTCTCGCTCTCTCTCTCCCTCGATATATTTATATATATATATATATATGTATATATATATATATATATATATATAAATCTTACCTTTCCAAAAACAATAATTACTACTTTCCCAAGCCAACATACACGACCACAAAAATGTCTTTGCGTGGATTATTGCTGTCATATATGTTCTGGTACCCTCGCTGTATGTCTCAGGGTCCTCGACAAAATACAGAGACGAATATGCAATGCGATAGGTCCTGATCTGGCATCTCATCTACAGTCGCTTTCTCACAGATGGGCCGTGGCTTCTCGCTGTCTCTTCTACAGTTATTTTTACTGCAACTGTTCCTACTTTTGCTGGTTTCCAGACTGCATGAATTTAATCGAGCTCCTAGGCTGGCATCTCGGTCCCACACTTTTGCTGTCGAAACGGTTAAATGTAACCGTCAAAAACTCAAACAGCTTCTTCTCTCGCACTTCTCGTCTGTGGAACTATAATCTTTAAATATTCAAGTGTAATGCCAATCGACATCTTCTGATATCTTGTTCCCCGTCCTTCTCTCTGTCCTTTCCTCAAACACGCCTCTTTACTCTTGTTCTCAATCCTCTGTAATACCTTGCGTGCTAGTGGCATTCCTGCCTTGCTTGGGGAGAAAAAAAAAGGAAAATGGTTAAATTTATTACCTCAAGTTTTTTCAGATGTTCAGCAAAAACGTCCATCCCAAACCATAAGAATCTGATCAAAAAATAATATATAATTTCAAGGATATTACCCGCTTGCTTTTGCCTTACCAAAATTTGAATTATGTCACTTTGTGTCCTCCATATGTTTTGACTAACCAATCACCTGATGAATATTCATGAACGTTCTCAAATTTAAAAGCCTTGATAAACTAATGACATCCTTGATCTTGTATATAAACACATACAACAAAAATAAATCCCTACTTTTGCCTTGATGAAGTCACTCAAGGGATGAAACGCGTTGTCTAAGTATAGTTTTT